CAGGATGTTTTATCTCCGTTTCATGAATCCCACAGCAAAATCTACTGGGAGAACCGTAGCATTCGTACAAGCAGGTAAAAAAAATTGGCAGGTTCCCCGAGTCAGCCGCTTGGCTTCCCTCGCAGCCTGGGCACGCAGCATTAGCTTGTACACTGGTGCCTCCCAGTGCTCACAAGAGAGAGAAGCAGAAAGCTCAAGAAGTAACATTGAAGATTGTTTCAAATTTTTTATTTTAAATCCAAACACTCCTTGCTATGTACCCGCTCATGCTTGGGGGGATCAGGAAATCCTGTGTGAGTGCAGGGAAAAGCCAAGGACATGCGAGTCCTGGGAACGGAGGCAGCAAGGCTTCTCCCTGCTTGGTTTAACCGTGAGACTACAAAGCGCTGCTGCTTCTCACCTGCTCCCTCCGACCCCAGCATCCGCAGAGTAAGCCAGCCTCAGTGAGAAGCTTCAAAGAAAGAGGAGAAAAATGACACTATGACTTAGGTACGTATGGGCTAGACACAAAGCAGAAGCTTCAGTACCAACACGGGACACATTGAGGGAATTTTGGCTTGTGAGTCCAAACCAGCAACCCAGCTTGACCTCACTGCCAGCTCTTGAGATGCCTCAAGCATCGGAGGTTCCTGCTCTGTGTCATCTGAATGTTTCTCAAGAGTCTTAAATGAGACCTGTGTGCAGGTGAAAGGCACTACCTTGGGAGGAGACTCGTCTTCTGGAAGGATGCCCCAGTTCCTGGCTATGCTCACAGCAGATATGCCCAACTTCTGCCTTGCCCTGCAGGGAAAGCCTGGTGCTGTACACACATTCAGGTCACACCTAATAAGTGAAGACAGCAAAACCCAGGGTGAGGCAGAGCCACTGCAATCCCTGCCACCCAGAGCCACGCTCAGCGGCTGTAGTTCTACTGCCGCATCCAAGCATAGCATTTATTCCCCTTTGGCCGGGGCACACCGTATCCCATTAGACACAGGGCGCTCTGCTGTTGAAAGCCTGGCGTGACGTGCACAGGCTTATTCAGCACGCCTGGCAACTTCACTGCAGCTTGACTTGGTTTTTTTGGCCTCATCCAGCAGGCAAATAAAAATAGATTAAGGCCGATCATGCCAGAAGGTCTGGACCCTTAGCTCTCACTCAAGGCCACAGCAGGTAGGAGGCGGTGGCACCTCCCAGGAGAAGGCCTCTTGTTTGTTTTGCGTGGTGCATACCGATGGGCACTAATGTATTTCAGAGCTGAACTTTCCACATAATTGCTTTTTAGTGTTTCCCTAGAAGAGCCCATGAAATAAGGGATTTTGTATGCTAATGTCTTTCCTTGCATAATGAAAGAATAAATCTCAGCCCTCTGCAGCTGTATGTCATGCTATACTGACTGGTGCTTTACATTTTAACGGTCATTATTTCAAGCCTTTCTTATTGTTCTTATATCCAACGACATTTATTCCACCAAAGGGAATTTGATATGCTTCTGTGTTTTACTTATCGTATACTTTAAGCGGGAACAGAAAGCAAAGATTTTTAAGGACTATTTGTTTTGTGTTTCCCTTTAATTACTTTTAAAATGGTTCTGCCAAGCAGCCTGGGTCAGCCTTCCTAGGGCTAGAAGAAATGACTCAAGGGAAGGACCTGCAGCCTCAGGGATGGGGAGACACCTCCCCTTTTAGCTGCATCTTCCTGATTAAAAATTAGCTTAAGCCAATCTGAGACATGCATGAGCTCAAGCTCACACTGCTATTCACCACCATAATTTGGCGAAAAAGAGCTACTACCACAGACTCCAAGGGAAGGGTTATTACCTTTTATCTGCCCGCCCACCCGCAGAGGTTAACAGCTTCTCTCCTTGAACAGCCCTTCCTGAAGCGCCTGATGAATACAGTCGCATGATATTACACATTTGCAGCATGGGAAAACGTGGCAGATACTATTCACTCTCACTCCAAGGTCATCATTTTCACCAGAACAACACTTTAGAGGGAAAACAGTGCACAGCAATTGGTCAAGTTTAGAAATACCACTTTGTTAAGACTTTTGGAAAAGAAAGACTGAGGGGAAGAGGATTAATTTCCACCACCACCCCAGGGAGCTCAATCCTGCTGACATGATATTGCTTCTTTCCAGAGCGTTCTCCAAATGGTCATACCTTTAGTAGAGATTTATTTGCAGACAGCCAGGAGGTACCTGTAAAAGCCAACAGGCATGGAATAAAGCCTCTGACCCCCCTCAGCCTGCATCCTCAGCAGAGGCACCTCACTGCTGAGGTTAAGACGTGGTCGACTGCTTTTAAAAACAAACCCCACTTGAGAGAGACTGTTCAACTGTCCCCACCTCCCGCCTGCCCCGCTTTTGAGCTTGCTCCAAGGGTGGCCTTGGACACAAGAGCTGAGCCAGCCAGCATCACGAGGAGGTAACACATTTGGAGACAGAGCTGCTCTTTTTCTTGTGGCCACTGTTTCCTTCCCCCCGTCCCCTGAACAGTTTTTCCATGCAATTAGGTCACATTTGAAAGTCAGCACACAGCAGCAGATGAGTTACTTTGTTTAAAATAAAAACATGTATTTCTATCACCTTAGGAGTTGTTCCTCTTTTGGCACAGGGACCCTCTGATCCTCCCACCTCCTTTTATCAGCATCTTCAAAAGAAGAAGGGAGTTATAATTGCTTTCTCCCCTCACCTGAGAAAAAGAGGGAAAGGCTGCTGTTCTTCTCTATTGGCATCTTGAGAAGAAACACGCTTTGAGCAATCATTTATTTACAGAACAAAAATAACATCTAGATTTCAAAGGGCAGAGCAGTTCAGAAGAATAAGGCTCTCTCCTCCCTCCCCTGCCACCAGCTTTTGCTTATTACCACCTACTGTCTGCACAACCTGCTGTTCTGCCTCTTTCCTCATTACGGGGGCACACACAGGCTTCTCTCTTTCTCTTTTGAGCATGGCAATGAGCGCCGCGGCACTGTAACTATCTCAAACCTACTGCTGACATTTCCGTGCCGCAAGCCAGCATCCGAGCGAGCTCCAAGGCTATAAGGCCAAGTCAAGGCAAAGAGTGGGATATATATTTGGAGCAGACGAATAATGCTGAAGAATCTGCAGTTCTCCCAGATCTGCTTTACCCACGACTGGCCTCCTGATAAAGAATCAGCCTCAGAGATCAGAAAAGATTGCACTTTTCACACATTGGAAACCAGTGGAAGAACCCAGCCCTTCACCCATCATGTTTTGCTTTTGCTACAGATATCTAGGTATCGTTCCTGTGGAGGACCAGGGAGCAGAAAAATGGGAAGAAACCAGTAGTTCCACAAGCCTGACGTCTTCCAGCTTTTTGATTTTTACCCGATTCTTTGGTTCCTGATTAGGCAGGGTCCTCTGTGAGTCCTGCCATTCAAAGCATCACTCTCCCAAAGCACATTCGTCGATACCTGAACCAGACACATTCAGACAGGGGGAATGCTGAATTTTCTTTCGCATAATGTCATTTGTTTCTACAAAGCCTGACGAAGCAGTGTTTTCAGAGCTTTTATGAAAGGTAGCTGAAACTGGCCAAAAAAGTCCGTAAGCTGTTAGCAGGGACTGACTGGTAGGACTAACTAATAGGCCTAGTTCCATTAAGAGACTAGGCTGAAAACCTAACAGCAATCTGCAAAATCTCCATTACTCACTGCGAAGCAGCTGGAAAAGTATCTACGGGACCATGTTACATCTTACTTCATGTACTTCAACACTCCAAAATGCAAGTTTTGGAGGAAAAACCATGTAACACCATCTCTGAAATAAAGAGCAAGACTGTTAAAACTACAAAGAGATTATGTCACAGCCTACTGCAATGTGTTGCTTGGATAAGCAAGTTCCTTTATACATATTTATAAATATATTTATATAGTTCAGCAGATGAATTGGTGACTCTTCAGTATGCAGATGACTGAATAAAAATCCTACCTAAATCCCCCTGAACAAAAAGCATCAGTGTGAACTCAGGTAGATTAGGTATCAGAGAGCACACCACCTCAGAGAAAGCCACCACGAGCTCATACAGGTATTTCTTTATGTAAGAGACCACATGCAACCCAGCATGCACTACGACAGCATTTGAAATCACTCTGATTTTGAAGCTATTTTTTGAAGAGAAGAATTGGGTTTATTTTTTAAATATTTTGGACACTGCCACATGAAACACTAGAGATGCATACAAAAATGAAATGGATAATCTACCTTGTTTCTAATATACTCAGATATTTCAAAACTAGAAATGAAGACAACCATTACAAAAAAGCCATTTATTAGATATATGTACATATATACATATACATGCAAAATTATTTTATACACATTTACACAGGTTCAATTATTAATACAGTGCAAAAATGTCTAAAAAGGTACCAGCCCACCTTCTATAAACTTAACAGGTCTTTGGGAGGAAGAAAAAAACCCCAAAAACTCACAGAGAATGATCAGCTTCATAAAGTGACTAAGCACTGCAAATCTTTAAGTTAATGAAGTTTATTCTTTGCCGATTTTCTTGTGCTGAGCTGCTGGGTGAGGACAAGAGTTTCCAAAAGACTTATCTTGAAAACTGACAGAATTAAGGAGGTGCAATTCAAGCTACATTAAACAGTTCAAAGTCGAACAAAAAGGGATGGATTCCTGTTTGGGGATTTGATTCAACACAGGCATAATCCTGCGTTATGAGTCAGATTTCATGTACTCAAACTGCAAGTCATTCTTTTTTATTAAATCTTAAAGCACTGAGATCAATGTAAACTATTCTATTCCTCTTGCTGTTTCACCAGAAGAAAAAGTTTAACTGTATAAATACCACACAGATACAGAAGCCATTCAAAATACTAACATTAAAAAAAAAAAAAATAGGTCTATGTGTGCCCTGCCTCACCCCTGAATCATAATCCAAACCTACAAAGTGCACAGATACTAACGCACATGTATTAACCCACATAGAATCCTTAATATGGTTTACACATATTACGAGGGGGGGCGGGGGGGAAGGTTGCAAAGGGATTAAGACTAACAGCAAACCAGAGCTTTGTTCATTTAATAGAAAAGGTCTAGTCGCATCCTCCATCTAATACACAAAGAGGAAAGAAAAAAAAATTTTACACGAAGGCAGAACTGAACCAACTGGGTTTGTTTGATTTTACTGAAACATTTTCAGGAAAAAGAAAATACTAAACAAAAGCTGAATTTAATCTTTATCCACTCTAATTATGTTAATTGCACAAGCTACCTATATACCTTGTTCTACCACTCTTATTGCAGAGCTGTTGCTAACAGCACCTGGCACAGGATTGTATTTGTTTTATGATAAAGCAAACAGTCAGATGCTCGGGAAGCATTAGGAACATTACAGTTTCTTCCAATCAGCTCAATGCAAGGATGAGGAACAAAAAGCAGATAATGGTTCACTGGCCCCATGCCCCCATTGTGAATGCTCTGCATGCCTTAAGCTATATAGCAGGCTAGCTTTATCCAAGCCTACAGAGAAACAGTAAAGCTCTTTTGGACTCTTCAGCCAGGTTGAGGCTAAAAGGGTAGGAGCAGGGAGTTGGGTCATATCACTAAGGTGCTTTTCACAAAGCTTTGACTATCTGTAGTATGAAATGCTTCATCCTTTCCCCGCAGGATGATTCCCCACGGTAACCCAGTGGGCTGATACCCAGCTTATGCTCCTGGAAAACACATCAGTCATCAGATCCAGTATCCTTAACAAAGCGTTAAGTTTCTACTATCAGATTTTAGCTAGTGTCCTTTTTTCAGATTTGTTTTGTTGTTTTTTTTTTTTAAACTTGTAATCCAAACTCCTGGCTTAGTTCCCTGCAGTCTCTAAGAGTACCTTACCAAGTAAAACTGGGACTGAACAGCATGAAAACTTAAAGCTTGTCAGTACTAAAACCCCCACATCTGTGGGGTCATCTGGGTGTCTTAAGGACAATGGTTGAATTCTGGCTTCATTTCTCCACCTACACTCTGGCAGAAAACTGGGGTAATGACAGACAAACAATTTTAATCCGCTCCCTCATTAACAGAAGAGTATTCCCTTATGTCACACAGCTCTAGCTGTTTTCTTAACTGGCTGGCTAAAATATTCCTCTGTCATTCCTACTAGACTATTCCTCACAGTCAAAAGGATTTCATTGTGTTATTTTTACAGTAAATGGGCTAACACGGGATGGAAGACAAGTACCTACATTTTACTACCGGCAAAAGCTCTGGCACCAAGTCTCTTGATGTCCTAGAAACTGTTCAGGTTGTAATGGGCTGCCTATCAATGCTGTTGTTGCAGTCAGCTGCATCACAGAAGTGCTTCCAAGGTACAGCACCACAGGTTTCTGGTCTAGTAGTCCACTGATACTCATGTTTGCATCATGAGATTTCAGGAAAATTCACTGAGATGCAAGAAAGTAATTTTGTTAAGTATTTCTGCAAACTCAGGAAGACAACTCCGCATCACGTTAATCTCTTTGCAACCACTAGAGGTAGAGACTATGTGAGAGGAAAATAAATCTTTGGTGAGAGATGTCTGGTGGAAGAAATGGGGCGACCAGAAAACAGTTTCCTACAAAAAAATAAAAGAAAATCTAGGACCATACTTCCACAATAACACACCTACAGTTCTCTACATCTTCTCAGTTTGAGTCTCTACGACCCTTCAAGGACAACTGCATCAAAATGCTATGCTTTTTTGTTTTTTAAACAGACAGCCTAAATTATTCATATATGTTCTAAAATGCCCATACGCACCTCAATACATTACATACAAGAATACCCAGTGCAGCAGAGGTTAAGAATTTCAGCTCTTGAGTACTATATTCAAAAGTGCACACTCATAAATTCATCTTAGTGTAAGAACTCAACACCATTAACTAAAGGTGTTTTATGTAATAAAGAGAACCTGCTCTTGCTTTCCATTACTGGAAATGGCTTTCTACTCACCAGCTGTAGGTTTTTTTAAAAAAGGTGAAGGAGTCAGTGGCCTGTCATAAGTAAGCTTGGAAGATTTATTATCCGTACAGACCAAGCAAACGTGGAATTACCCTTATACTAAGCGTGACCTTAACCAAGGAAATAAAGGCCACTTGAGCTGAAAGATCACTTATATTCACTTGGTTTATTTTATGCTGCCCTAAGCGTATTTGCAATTAACCAATGAGCACATACTTAGCTACGATGCGCTGTTTAGCCAGGAGATATTTATAGCCTTTATGGTTTTTAAAAGAGCCACAGCCTTTTCCTTTCTGTCAAAACCTAGAAAAATTACCCTGAAGCTCATCCTAACAATTTTTCCCACTGATATTGAACTTATCTAATTATGGCAAACAACTCCTTTACCTACATTTACCAAGAATCTTAATGCTTAACAAATTCTATAGACAAAAATGTTACCCACCACTTTATCTTCATTTTACTGCACAATTTTAATATTTTCAGAAGCACTGGCAGGGCAAGACATTGACCTGTCAAACTGTTACAAAGCCAGTAAGACAAATGGCAAAATGCTGTCTAGATGGTATTAGTCAAGGAGTAAAAGCCTGTTCATGGTTAGGAGAACCTCCGTCTGTTGATGACACCTGAAAAAATCTACCATGCACAATTACCACATGCCATGTTAAATACAGCTACATTCCTCACTGTATGTTTGACATGATTACAGCATCCTACTTTATTTCAAGTTGCTTTGAAATATTCTCCTTGCAATAACCATTGTCACAAATCTTTAAAATCACTCCAAGCTATTTTTGGCCAGTTTAATACAAAAAAAGTTGTAAAAACAGAGTAGCAAACCCAAAGTCTTTTTCATACTCCGCAGTCAGGCTGTTTCTCCATAAGTTGCCTTGTCAGTATCTGATAAGAAGAAAGAGATGCCACTCCTATGTGAAAGGCTATTTGCCAGAGGTTCCGTAATCCATACAAGTAAATGTTGCATAAACAGACAGAGAAGAAGAGTACAAACGTCTTCACCTTCCTTGCCGAGCTGTAGAAGAGGTACAAGTAACACTACAAAAGGACCAGAGAGACCGCGTTAGCATTAAACTATGTACGTACAGACAAGAGACGTAGCTGGGAATTGCTGGCATATCCATGCCACTCGGATGTGTCTGCCATTGCAGTGATCACTAAGAAGCTCAAAGCTTCCCTTCAACTCCTATGTTGAAAGGCCCTCCAAGAATAGCTGGAGTGGTGGCCTCAACCCAGACCCTACTGGGTGAGCACAGATACCAAAAGAAGGCTGTCAGCACAACTGGCGTCCCTCCTGCCTGCCTCAGCCTGGATTAAAAGGAGTCCGAAAGCTGAGCCAGCTTTCAAAAACACCTATGATTTTCACAAGACAAAGGCTCAGAAGCAGGAAAACAGCAAACCCAAATCTGCTTCTGCCGTATTTGTTCTTGGGATAAGTAAAGGACTGCATTCTCTAGACTTGGCTTGGTAGAAAGACCATCATTCCTGTTAACACGTTTAGCTGGGGTTTTGGGCTCTTTTTCTTTTTAAATTCAAGAACAGGTGGAACCCATTTGCTAAGCATGTGTGAAGAGCAACAACCATTACAGGAGAAAACTAAAAATCTACAAAGTGCTCGCAGAAGAGTTACTTTTTTAACTCAGGCAGTAACAGATCATGCTTTCTCACTTAAGGTCACAGTTTCCAACTGTGCTGATGACACAAGTAGAGATCAGCATGTAGAAAGCGCTTCACATTTGAGCTCAATTTATGCACAAGCATTTTGTGAAGATGACTGCTATAGATCAAAAGGATAAGAGAGAACTCTTCTTTATTTAGCTTCTCTAGCTTCAGGTGCTAACTTGCAAAAAGCAGGACAGAGCCTTTCTTTGTGACGAATGACTTGCATCAGGTATTTAGATCCAAATTAATACCTCCATCTTAAAGCTCTGCCATGAGCAGAGGCTGAAAGACACTAAATTGTATTTATTATGATACAATAAAGAGCCTCTGCAAGTTTTAAATACCATAGGTAGATAGAAGTCTTCAAACAGTGGTCCCAAACCATTAGCCAAATGCAACAGTACTAAGCAATGAATACCCTGTAGGCATTATGTTATTCCTTCTGTCAACCAGAAACCAACTACAGCAGCTTCCTGCGATGACAGGCTAAAAACCCAAAGATTTTGCAAACAACATACTGCCCTCAAGTTAAAGGTTGGGGACCACTGTTTTAGGCATTTAAGGAAGCGTTCAAGAAGAACCCATTTGGACCATATAATATTTTCCCCATTCAAACTCCTCTGCATAAGGAGGTCAGAGAAAATAACTCGGGGGGGGGGAGGAATCTAAGGAAGTCAGGAACGACATTTGTCTCAAGAATTAAAAGTCATTTTTAATGTAAATTAGAACATTTTCAATACTGTTGCTATCCTATATTTGCTTAGTCTTTCAAGGTGGTTATGCTACAAAAGCCCGTCACTAAGTCTGCCGCTGTCAGAAAGACACCGTGTCTAACCCTTTGGGAAACAAACCATCTTTGGGCTAGCTCTTATTTATCACACTCAGCCCCATTTGGCATGTCAAAACATGAAAGCACTGAAAAATCTTGCACCTGCAGTTTGCTAAGGGTCAAATTGTGCCTGCAACTGTATTTGTGCCACTTCACTGAAATACCTCAGTGGAATCACCTAGGTAGATAACTGAAAACCAAACTGTTCCTCTGCTTAGCTGAAGGTTATTTGGTCTCGTATATTATAATATAAAAATAATCAGAAAGCATTTTATTTACAGTTAACATACCTGAAAAACACAGGCTAGAAAAGGAAGGAAAAAAGATATCACATTTCCAATTCCTTCACGGTCCTCCTGTTCGGATTAAAAGAAGTGACAAACAACTACGTCAGCTACAGTTTTAGCAAGTACTGCTTGATATTTTAAAACGCTATATTTCGTCAGGTACCTCTCATCCTAGTTTATGTTGATTGACCGTAACAGTGTTAAACAGCAAGATCAATACCACTGAACAAGATACCAAGAACTGAGGTTTATGTGACAATTCCTGCTAAATAAAACTGTGCCACCATAAAATCAGGGCACTTTTTTTTTTTCTTTTTTAAAAGCTGTTTACAGTTTCACATGTTTAAAAAAATATTTACAGAAAAGCATCTAGAACAAAATACAAGAATGGGGGGAAAAAAAAAAATCCAGCCAGCCTGGCAAGACTAAAATATTTCTCCAAATTTTAATCTCCCTAGAAAAGAATAAAATGCAATGTGTTGCAATATGCAACAAAACACATGAGGTCTAGCAGGTGAGTAAACAATTGTACATTCCCTGGACAAACAAAACACTTCCTGTGGAAAGATGTATGCTCTACTAAGAAGCAGAACAGTCACCCTTAATCCAGTTACCCAAATAATTCTCTTCCTTTGACTCATTTACAGGTTTCAATTCAATCGGGGTTACCTGAAATGAATACTCTGCTAGGTGAACTCCTCGAATGAGATTCAAAGCTCCACACATGATGTTCAGAACAAGCGACAGAATCCCCAGGGGAGTCACACGCTGCACACTGTAAGTAGGGACTTAAAAAAAAAAAAAAAAACAAAAAACAAAAAAACCACCACGGACATTAATGAAAGGTAGCACTATTCCTTTGAATCTTTTAACTTAAAACAGCTCAAATCAGCTTATGCGGGTTTTAAACATTTTCAAAACCTTTCATGCTTGCTCCAGAGAGGACCAATTATGAATAGCGTCCTGGTTTTGGCTGGAATAGAGTTAATTTCCTTCCTAGTAGCTGGTACAGTGCTGAGTTTGGGTTTAATATGAGAATAATGTTGATAACACACCGATGTTTTAGTTGTTGCCGAGCAGTGCTTACACTAGTCAAGGGCTTTTCAGCTTCCCATGCTCTACCGACTGAGCAGGCTGGAGGGGCACAAGAAGCTGGGAGGGGGCACGGCCAGGACAGCTGACCCAAACTGGCCAAAGGGACATTCCATACCATGGGACGTCATGCTCAGTACATAAACTGGGGGAAGCTGGCCGGGGGGGGCCGCTGCTCGGGGACTGGCCGGGCATCGGTCGGTGGTGAGCAATTGCACTGTGCATCACTTGCTTTGTGTATTCTTTTATTATTATTACTACTATTTTACCTCATTTCAGTTATTGAACTGTCTTTAGCTCAACCCATGAGTTTTCTCACTTTTACTCTTCTGATTCTCTCCCCCGTCCCACCGTGGGGGGGGGAGCGTGAGCGAGCGGCTCTTTGGTACTCAGTTGCCAGCTGAGGTTAAACCATGACAAATAGAAACACCTTTTTTTGTTGCATTACACTGTTCAGTTCTTCAGACATCTAGAAATCAGCAAGAGCTCTGGAGTACTTTTTAAACAGATTAAGCAATAGACTTTGTTCTTGAGCTATTTGACATTAATGTCTTCTTTTATGGTGCACATAGAAATTTTTCAACTGTTTATTTCAGCAGATAGGCATACTTACCATTCTTCACAGGTCACTAGAAAAGCTAGAGGCTTCAAGCACCCAAAGGTCTGAGAAAGAACTTAGATTTCTGACCCCCACAGAACCAAGACAGCAAGTCATCTCTTCCTCAACTGGTAATTAAGTATTTCTTCCCACTGACAGTTTGAGGGTTCACTCTGCTATACAGCAATTTAGTTTCACCTTCATAGTTTCCACACAGCATTTGGTGCCCTCATCAAGCAGTTGCCAGAATACAGTGGTAGGAGCCAAGGACTTTGAAGCTCTGCTGCTAGAATAGTTGTTGTAGGAGTTGTCAAGATGATACTACCCAGTCACAGAGGAGAAATGCCTGTCACAGAACTGCTGGTCTTACCTCTGGGCCTCTCAGACTGACAAAACACAGTCAAAACTGTGGCCTAGGAATTAAACTGGATGCTATAGTGTCTGGCCTTTGAACCACATTTTACTGTGCATTACAATTCCCTTTCTCCCAAACTGCCCACGTTTCACATGTAGAGAATTACCTGTCTCTCTCCTTTCTCACCTCCTCCACTACCACTATTTACTCTAACACCTACACACCCAAATACCATTACTTCAGGATGCTCTGACTGATACATACCTAATTAAGGTCAAAGCAATTATTATCAATTTGTATTTAACTTTGGAATTTGCCGCTTCTAATTCAGGCTTTCGGTTGTCCAAAAGCTCACCGATTTTTTTTCCCCTAGATATACTAGCTAGCTCAACAACAGACACCACACCTAGATACCCACCCACATTTCTTGCCATACCCTCCCTGCCCTTGGATCATCACAAGTAGAACACTGTCAGCGTAATAGTAAGAAGGATAATTTGCACCTCGGATACCAAATCCAGATCCTCTCCCGCACCAACATCCGTAAGATACAGGAGAGAATGAATGAGCCCTCAAGAAGTCTCCCCAGCTCTCAGGATCTTCTGCCTCCTGTCCAGATGTAGCCAGCTCCTGACTACTGTAGATAAACAATGCAACACAGCAGGGATCGTCTCCGGCTTCATTTCAGTGACCGATGAAACACCGTAACAGCTTAAATATTGCAGTACTGCATGGTTTAAGATAGGAAAACACTTGTCTCTTCTCCTCCAAGACAGATTTTGATAGATGATGTAAAAAAGTTTGGTGCCAAATTAATATAGGGATATAAAGTATCTTTTATAAGTGTCTATGTAATTAATTTGTCTGGCACACACTCATACCTCCATAATTTCATCTCCAAAGCAGCTGCAAAAGGAACTGTATTAATTCCATTTGCTGTATGTCACATTATGTAGCATTAATGTATGTTATTGTCATGCACATGTTCATGTAAATTAATGGTGCAAGTAACCCTATCATTCAAAGGCAATTTTGCTTTTTTGCTATGCAGTGAAATTTAAGGTCCAAACAGCACACTGAACAGGAGCTGTACCAGCACGTTTGTTCATTCACTGACCTGAATATTCAGTTTCCTATTATTTTTGATAAATTAAATCATGTTGCAGCTACGTATCTCTCTCTCTCTCTCATGGAAATTTCCTAATAAAGACTACTGTTTCTTCTTCCTCAGTTTCTAAGGTTTACTTCAGAGGCACACAGTGTCTCTCAAAGAAAAATTACCAGGCACAAGTATCATTCATTGCACAGGATCTTGCGAGCTATACATGTCAAGAGTTCCCAGTCCCCAGGGAAGAACAATGCAAGTCTCAATATGTTGCTTCTGCAGCATGGAATATTATGTAAAAGTTACTTTTTTGTTGTGCAGTAGGATAAAAAGAATTGCTATCACAGATGCAGGGGAGATTACAATAGCCAGTTGCTCAGGGTTCAGAGTCTGTGAAAACCAATCTTTAAATTGTTTGCTGTAGAGTTTTATTTCTGCTATATCATTCTGAGGTTTAATTCACAAACTGAAATTGCACAGAACAAGTGAGATGGGTTCTGCTAGGGAAAAATTATTACACTTCCTTGTGTGAATTAAATCTTATTTTTACAAACAGAATTTCATACTAGAATTGCTTATTACATTAAATAAAGGAACAAGAGAGCACAAGCACTCTTAGTCCAAGACAGCACAATTTTGCACAAGCACAATTAAATGCCAATTGGGTTTCAAATGGATTTGACTCTTCAAGTAGAAAAGTTGTGCACTTCAGAGTGCAAAAACCATACAGAAGATGTTCCGGAGATTGTGGATTATCTAGCACCCAGGAAAAAAAAAAAATGTATCTGCAGGTTTGAACATGTACAGAACAATTCTGTGAAAACACCCTCACACAATGAAGAAATTGAAACTTCTGCCCATAAAAGGTTTTCTGAGCAGCGGCCTCTGGCTATTTAACCGGAGACTGACATGAATGCCTGTACCACGCTCCATTCTGTCTCTTCAAGGCATAGCACAACAAGGGTTTGACAATGAGTCACATACTCAAAGCTCCAGATAAAGACAGCACCAGGAGTGAAAAATGAAATCAGACTCAAAACATTTTAAAATAAAATACAAGCACACAAAAGACAGAGATGTGAGACATCTTCAAAAAACACCTTGAAAAGGACTCTGTGATGGAGTGTGTGCCTACAAAAGACTAAGAACATTCATCAAGGGGAGCACAATGCTGCATAATTTAACAGCATGCTTACTGGACGAATAGCACAAGTTGTTCTTCTACTTCATAGAGCCAGTTCTGATGTGAAAACTCCCCCTCTTCACAGAAAGCTACTTACACTTCACATTTCTTCTGTATGCATACCCCACTGTCCTCCGGAGCTTTAACAGCTGTGCCCACACCAAAACACAAGGTGATTGGCTTTTGCAACAACAGCTGAGGTTGTGTAGATGTTGATCAAGGATACAACGCTAGTGTCTTTCTAGCACGAATTGGGCTGGGTTTAGTTAACAAAGGAAGGAACAAACAAAAGAAAGAATAAAAGAAAAAAGAAACAAAAAAGCTTTTGTTCCTATATGTACTAACAAGGACAAAACTGCCCTGACTTTTCATACTCCTTTCACACTAAAATGAAGAGCCAGGGGATGTGATCACACAGCTCAAAAGAAGGCAGGAACCAGCTACAGCCACGTAAGGAGGCTGATGTTTTGATCAATCCATTGATTGATCTATCTTCACTATAGAATGCAGACACAATTAAATTCTCCTCTCCTGCAACCGTAACACTTCAACGTATGCTCAAGAAGTCTCCTGTATAGCACAGCCACAATATAAGTAACATTAATATGGGAACAAACACTATCCACACAGCTAAACTTAGAGCAGCAAAGTGGGATTCAGCTGGTAGGTAATGATGAGAGGAGAGAGATATAAGCCAGGAAAGCTGACTCCAGCTGAGGGAAACAGATGATCATAAACACGATCCTTAAAATAAAGGCAGAACAATCTGTAAGAGTATCTGGGTTAGACCAGACAGAACAGCCAGAAATACGAAGCCAGATGGAAAGTAAAAGAACACAATTAAGAATATGGGGGAACTGAAAATGTATTTCCGATCTGTGGACACAGACTAGCTTGCAAATGTTTACTGGTACTGAAACTGTTCACACTAGTGCAAAGAATTTCTAAGCCCTGTCACATCATGAAAATATTTAACTGTCAAGCACAGTTCTGAGGAGCGCTCACAAATCTGACTGGCAAATAAAATGTTTTCAATTCTATTTTCAATTTCTCCTGGCCACTGCCCCTCTATATTTTAACTTAAAATACCTATGTCAAATTAAATTCCAGCTCATCCATCAGAAACAATAAGACTGAGCAACCGGAGCTTAATTTTATTAGTGTTTCATAAGCCAAGAACAACAACCAAAAAAAAGAGGAAATACAAGCTCATGGCACTCCAGCTGCATTTAAACCGCCATGCTAATAGGATTAAAAGCATTTCATTTCATACAGGAAGTAGGCAAGGTTTTGACTATGCAACTGAAACACAAATAAGAAGATACCAATTTTATAATAAATAGGTAGAGGTTAGTACTTCTAAAAGCAGGTAAAATGTCAGTATTTGTTACAAAAAGGTCCCTTGTCAAGCCTCTATGTGTTGTTTATACAGATATATATATCCTCTTTCAGAATTTTAGTCAAATGCATTAAATTTTAAAGAATAAGGTAAAAGGACAAAGCAAAGAGGGGAGAACAACCCAAGACAGACAGTCTGGGAATGAGAGTTTTGCCCTCAGCTCATATTCTCATCTTTTCTTTCAAGGCTGAAGCAACTCATTCAGACTGTAATTATGTATCTTCTATTAGAGTTTGCAACCAGCAATGAATTAGTTGAGCTTCTTTTGCCATAGAAAATTTAACAAACAACTACCTTAAAAGCAGGAGAATTTAACATGGAAAATGCCAAGTCCAGTTACAACCAATTGTCCATATAGAGAAGCTGATCTAAGGCTGGAAAAAAAGACACTACCACGAGTCCTTACAGGCTCTGATGCATACCTGCTATAATCTAGAGACCACATGTTGTTTACTAGGAGAGAAGGGCAGTCTTTCTTCTTGGGTTTCATACACGAGATGTATGTATTTCTCAGTGCAAAAGGAACCACTGCTGTTATATGTTTTTCTGTCGTTTGCAAAGTTAGGTTGAGGAAGCCTACTGTCACCTGTGCGTAGTAGTAACTTACCAACCTCCACATGAACGCCTGCATGCCCACCGTTAGTCATCCCATTCATCAGCTCTGTATCCTCTAGTTTCAGCTGAACCGGGGGCCGGAACTTCAGCTCCTCCTCAATCTTCTCCCAGTTGGCCTTCATTTGAGAGCCACTCGCACAGTTAAAATGGCATTTCACCTTCTGAATAATGTTATCTGGAACAGTATAAAAAGATGCTTCAATTAGCTCTGCAAAAGTTAAGTGCTTTAGGTAATTATTAATCAAACCATGGCATTCTTTTTTGATTGTTTTTCATTTCTTCCTTTATTTCTTTTCTTATTAGTTTTAGGTATAAAATTTCACCGCTGGTTAGGGAACAAAAATACCTCTCCTAGGTATTTTATATCGCACCCACTCCCTTCTGGATACTTTAAATCTCAACATCCTGCCTGCCAGTGGACTGAAAACAAGCTTTCATATTCCAGAGTGGGTGTCAACACATATCTTTAACTACCCATGAACTACCATGGGAAGCAATTCCACACGTGTTTTAACAATGTCAAGGATTAGTTTTTTTCCAGCACAGAGATAAATTAATTCAACCTATATTTGAGTCATGAAGCAACTCTGGCAGAGGCAATTCCATAGTGATTCCACCAGCGTCCAAGCCACACATCTACATAGAGATCACCCTGCTTCATTTCTCACACTTTAAATTTAATACCATTTGCAAGCAAATCCCTTTCCACAAATGTTGCTGCTGGCTTGACAGGAGTTGCACTGAGACCAAGTGGAGAATTTGTCCAAGTACGAATTACTCACACCTCCAGAGCTGAAGTACCTCACTGTGGATACTACTACTTCCTATTTAATTGTGCGAAAATATTGGCAAATTCAAGCTATTTCAAATGCTCAGGGAAATAAAATGCAGAAACATCTACTTTGCTAAGATATCCTATAAGTAAAATCCGTATCTGCAAGATATTGCTACACTAGAAGACTCACATAGGTTGACCACAGCTACTACTGGATATGATACATATATCACAGCTTAAGCATAAGTTTTGAGACCACAGAGGAGGACTTTATGTTGTGCTATAACAGACAGTGCCGTAAGAGTTCTTTCGTGAAAAATCCTGTATTTTACCTTAAGTCAGCCTGCTAGAATTACTTGTAACTACCAGGCAAAAGGCTAAGATATTATGCATCAAGTGCATCTTAGATCCACACACGGGAAGAAAAAAAAAAAACCAAAAACAACACAAAACCACACAGCAATATTGGGCAGACTCAGTAACAAAACACAGTATAATAATAAAAATGAAAAAAAAACCCACCCCTGCATTTTTTTTCTTTATAAAGAGCCTTATGCAATTAAAAGAGGCTAGAAATTCCCAAATTCCTACTCAAGTTAAAAAAAGGAGTAATTTGGATCTCAGCATAAAACTACATCATGCCTAGAACGTGCCCTGCAGGGAATCCAACCAAAATACAAGATCATAGAATGGTTTGGGTTGGGACTTTTCAAGGTCATCTAGTCCAACCCCCCTGCCGTGGGCAGGGACATCTTCCACTAGATCAGGTTGCTCAGAGCCCCGTCCAACCTGACCTGGAATGTTTCCAGGGATGGGGCATCCACCACCTCTCTGGGCAACCTGTGCCAGTGCTTCACCACCCTCAGCATAAAAAATTTCTTCCTTATATCTCGTCTAAATCTACCCCCCTTTAGTTTAAAGCCATTCCCCCTTGTCCTGTCG